TAGAGGGGAAATGACGATAGTAAGGATGAGGAAAGAAAAAGCAGCACTTCACCGCGTCATTTCTCATTGTCATAATATGTCAAAAGACGAGGTAACAGGAGAAGAAAAAGTAAAATATGTATGTATGTCCTATAAAATATAATATGTCTTGGAACAAGGCCAACAGACTGCACGTGAGATGGTCATTGAGTTTATTTCAGTTACATAATAAGTTACATGTACAAGGAAAAAACAGCTTCTGTACTGTCATCAAAACAAGAGCAGTCGAAAAAATCATGTAACAACAACAACACTTTAGTAAGTTATAACTCAATTTCACACACACATACACACACACACACACACACACACACACACACACACACACACACACACACACACACACACACACACATATATTATATTAAATACTCACAATGCCAGATCATTGAAAAGCACATGAAGCAATAATGATAGATCTACCACTTAAAGAGTTTAATAAGATCCCCAACACCTTCCATCCCCCATTCCACCCCCCCCCATAAAAAAGTGGTAATCGGACAAAGAAAGTACCAAAACCGATCGATGGTACTTTGTGTCTAGACAATTTTTCACAGACCCATGTAACATATTCTTTCACTAGTAGAATGCAAGCTCAATTTGGGCATTTAGACAGAAAAATACAACAATTTATAGCTGATATAACAAAGTTGAAGTGTATCGAGTTTGTGCATGCAGTCTGGTAGGACCACAATCACATTGTCATTATTTTGATCTATATTTTTTTCTATTCATCAAAATATATTTGTCATCCTTTGGAAATCGAAAGAAACTCAGATTAAAAAAAAAATTTTTTGGCGCAGTCTATAGTAGAACACCACTGACACTTCGTGCTAACCGGGGCCATGCTTGTCTGCGATCAACGAAAATGCCTTGAACAATGGACGCAGTTTGTTTTGTTTACCGCGCGGTTCTCCACGATCAGCTGGTGACCCAGATACGCGCATCAGGGCGAAGTGCCATCTCTCTAGTATTTCTTACTGTAAACTCTCTGCCCGTGACGCCGACGTGATAAGGCGCCCGGCGGGGAACCCCCCGCGGAAACTAAAATTTAGTAAAATTCCACTGCCGGTGCGCCAGTGCGCCAGTGCGCCGTGCATGAAACGTCTACTCACAGAATTAGAATTCTGTGCGTCTACTAGAACAATCAGGACATGTTATTGAAAGATTGCAGTGCAGGTTCATTGGCTGGAGCCTCAGCTCGGTCGGACATTTTGTCCTTGGGAAAGGCATTTTACACCAATTTCCAACTTGGCTCGGTCCTTTCAGAGATGTCGTTAAACTTAGAGGCCCCTCCTCTCAAATAACCTTCTAATAGTGTTAATAGGGGCGTAATACCGATGCATTTGTATCATTTCACCATTTTTTTTGGCTCTGACTCAATCGATGAATCCAATGGGCAGTATGTGTCCAGGATTACGACGATGGTCAGTACACACTGTATCTATTTCTATTGCTTTGTGTCATCAAATTTAACATGGAAGTCAATTTGGTCCCATCGCATAAACAAATTTTACGTGCGAATAATACATTTGACATAGGTGCATCTGAACCTTCTGATTGGCAGTTGGCAACAATTTTCCTTTAACTTTTAAACCTCCCAAATCGTGACCTAAAAAAAAAACTTAACATGTTTGACTTTAGACAATTAAATTTTTAAAAATACTATAATGTCGAAATGGTTGCTCCTGCCCCTCAATTAATGATAATCTGCACAAATCTATCAAACTATAGGCTACCAAACAGTAACAGTACAGGGATTTGAGAACCTTTCAGCGGTCTGTACAGAGCATTAGCCCTGAACCAATGCATGATAAAAAGATTTACTAAAGTCAAAAAATAACACGCGCCATTCTGCCTCTGCCGTAATTTTTAAAACGAAGTGTATACAGCCCCGGTAACCAGAAACCAAGTCACGAAGTATACAGACCCGGTAGGGGAACTCTTTTGTGATTTCGGAAAGTTTCAGCGCCCAGACCCGGTCGTGTGC